TGGGGTTCGTTTCGCCAACGAGTCCCCCAAAGGGCCTTCCGGCGCAGGCACCAATTTTGCAATGTCCGTTCTTTTTGCTCTTGTTGGAAATTTATGCGCCAACTTGGAGTTAATCCTTTTTAATACAGTTTTCTAGGTTTAGTCCGAATGCACACATGGAACGCTGATGAGCCGAACGCTTCATAGTTGTGTCATACAATCAGCGAAACACGCTTATCTGGGATTCTAGCCGGTAACGTGCTTTCTGCAAGGTCATACGCCATTAGTATTGCTCATGCTGGCGTGTTGGTGTCATCAAGGCTTGCTCAAGTTATTGAACGGACTTGGAGTTAAGACCTACGTACCAACCCCTGTTTGACCCTTTCCAGACTTTGGAGTTAGCCAGGGTTTACCTCAGCAGAAAATTCATATTTATGCATCCGTCACGTCAGGATGGTGGCCTCTGCACGAGCTTCTTTTCAGGCGCTTGCAAAAACTATACTGTACGCACGACTAATCAGGTAGTATGAATCTGTCCTATTGATTTTCGATGTCCTTATACATTCGAATATGTCTTAGTGCGGAAATATTCTTGTGCTCAGTTGGTATCAACTTACATTTTCAATTTTTATACTTGCGGAATGGGTATTTTTCGCTTTTAGAAAAGCTTCCAATCAAGAGATTTTTTAAGGCCGTGAAATACCTACCCGTAAAGCATCGTGTCCGTCCATTTATTAGTGCTGGTCCGCATCCACTGCAAAACTTTACGAACGCTTTATGACGACATCTTAATGACATATATGAATGTGTGATTTTCCTTACAGGGAACATATAGAGCTTGTAGTCTGGAAACTCGGAATACAAATCCAACGGCAGATTAGGTTAAAATTATTCGGGAATTGAGGCCTTTCAAAAGCGAATCATCCCCTTTCCTCGGGTATAGAATTTGAAAAGTGCGTGATGTTCTAACTGAATGCAAAAAAGTATTTTTTTTGTCTGTTCTATAAGACATGCTTGGATGTATGAGGGCATCGAAAATCAGTGGTAAAATTAACGTAATTTAAATAGTCATTTTTTATAGTGTAGTCTTTGCAAGCGGCCGGAAAGAAGGTCCTTTAAAAGTCGATATCCTGACGTAACAAAAATATCTTGTGATTATGCTGCACAACAGTTAGTCTTACGACCCTACTTAAGGAATATTTTCAAATTGAAAACACATTTCAGAATTCCGGTTAACATTTTATGAGGCAGCCTATTTGCTGTATGTTTGCCCTCAATGAATTCACACCAGGACAGGAGAACGAGGTGCGAGTAAAACGTGTGAATAATAAGAGAAATCTACCGGTGACATTGTTGGTTTCACTGTTTTCTATCCCCCCCCCTTTGTAACCGTCTCCAATAACGGTGCCTTCAAGGCATTTTCTGTTTTATTCTTCACTCCGCACTAATGGGATTTCTTTATTTATTGTCGCGTTTTGTATCAATGTCTTGCAAATTACGCGACGTGGCCATCTCTCTTTTGATGGCAGATTCTAACTTATAAATTTACGCTTTTTCTCTATTGCGTTCACTTCTCTTCCGTTCGTAAAGACGAGTCCAGACGCTAAACCGACATCAACGTCCCCCGATTCCAGCACCCCTGTGCTCCACTACCTGGACGTCCAAAATCTCTATTTCTCGAAGCAGCTGCCCCAGAAGAAAACGAAAAGGCCTCCCTCGGTTCCGCCGAGGTTCCCCAAAACGCAGCCGCCGGTCAAGCCCTCCGCGACTGACGCCCGTGACGGGTCTGACCCTGAAGCCGATCGTATCGAATACAAGGAGCTGGATCCGGTCACCACGTGTGCGTTGGAGTACGTTATAAATCTGATCATGGACACTAGAGATCCAACTTAAGCATACTCTCTGACAACTGTGCAGTTGTGCTTTTCCTCCTGAGCCTCCTGTCATAATCCCACCTGCGTCCTAGTGCAGCTTTTTTCTGGTTGCCTTCTACTTTGATCATAATTTTATAACAACTTTGTACTAATCTGTTTGTGAAGGCCAAATTTTTTGCCTTTGTTTATCTCTGCCACTTAGCAAAAACTTTTATAAGATATTTAGTCCCATTTGGGGACAGCTTCCCAGTCCGAATAGTCTGCTGCGCTCAGCTAGCTTTCGACTTCTCTCTGGGTGTATAGCGAAGGCACATGCCTTCCCGCTGCTGCTCTGGTTACCCCGTCCGAACAGCTGGAGGGGAATGGTGGGCTTTCTCGTTTCTCGCCGACTCTCTCCGATGTGAGATCCGGCTTATTTCGGTCCTGTTTCTGTGTGCGTCGTGTTGTGACTTACCACCGCTGCATGATAGGCATGATGATGTTGGCGCATGCCAGGTAAGGTAAGATGAAGTGAGGTTGTTGCAAGTTGGTCTCACTGTCCAATACGAAATCCGACGTGTTTCGAAGTGCTTTTGCGACAAAGGTTAGTGGGTGTACCCCAGCCACCTGGCTATCGGGCGAAAGACATACAGGAGGCGTTTGTTCTGTACAGAAGCCCGATGGCGACCTCGACCCACAACGTGAGACTGACGGGTGATGTGGCCCCCAATGACAATCTCACGTGAAAGTCGGACTGCGTCAGCTTAGTGAGTTTACTGGATGCTTCCGGGGTCTATGACCGCCTGTGATTGACTGTCAGTGGAGCTGAGGGCGCGCACGCCTAGGATGCGATTTAGAGTTGGCATTTGAATAATTTCAAAGTCACACTAGCCCAAAGTATACGTGGAGGCAAGTTATGTTGGTGGAGTGTAAGTTATTCGATGCAAAAATATGTATAGCTAGCGGTCGTTATTAAACCCTGTCCCCCGCTTCTCTCGAAGACTTGACTTGTTCCAGCTGGACGTCGGAGCGGACTGTGGCCAAACATGCGTCACCAACGACCGAGTCGTATGGAATTCTGCTCTAAAGCTTACCTGAAGACCAGGTTGACTTGTTCATAGTAAACTGATGTGTTCTGGTCGGCACGAAAGCAGTCTGAGCGGGCCTCCTTATATTAAGTCGTCTCCTATTGGTGCAAAACTTTTTATGGGACAGTGCTATAAGGAGACGCCCACCGATCTAGCCTAACTGCGAGACGGAGTATGGGTTTTGCCTTTTTTGAGCTCCTGGCTAAGTTTAGACAGTCTTGTTAGCCAACAACACAGTCTTCGATAATAACTGCCGATTAAATCTTGATCCGAATCCGACACCTGCATCTGGGGCTTGGGACTGGGCGACATACGTTGACAAATAGCCTCCACAGCCCTCATTGTCTTTTTCGGTGCTTCCTCGTTCTGCTTTTTGACCGAGAGGCTGAGAGAACTAAAACGGAATTTGACAGTCCACGTAGTTGTGTGGCCCCTATGCTGTCGATTTGAGCTTCCACGGCCTACACCACGCCCTGGGCATCCGGGTATTCTCGTCTTATCTCACATTCGTAAGTGGAGCATGGAAGCCACATTAAGAAGGAACCATTGAGCCTGACACACAGTCGGCTAGTCAGTCACAGCACATGCACAGGCACACGAGAGTTCGACGGTCGAGTTCGACAATGTCCACCGTGTACTGTACAGCAAGGTACAGCAGGGACGGTGACTTGCGCATGAATTAGTTTAAAGTGATAGTAGACTGACGCAGCATCTACCGCATTCGCTCTTCCCCACTCCCCACCTGGACCCGGTGTAAAGACAGAATCAAGAAGGCCGGAGGCGGGGGAAGGGCGCAGATGGCTGGCACGGCCAGACCCGCACCTAGGCGTGCCGCCAACACCCTCTGGTCCGCAACACACACTTGACCAGGATTATGACCAACAATGACAAAAGAGTGGAGACTGACCGACCAGGGCCGCACCTAGGCGTGCCGCCAAACCCGGCTCGGAGCCCACGGAGTAGGAATGCCATAAAGGCCACATAAAGAAAGAGCCATTGCAGCCACAATCTTGGACCACCAGCCGGCCACTCCACAGCAGCAGCACACACAACACTGGGCCGACTGCGAGGTCCAAGTGATACCGCCAGTTGGCAACATTCTAAGCCACGGCTTTTAGCGCATCGTGATAGCTCCATGCGCGTCAAATTGTTTATAGTTAGGAAAATGCACTGAGTGGTCGACCTCACTCTCCCTTCCCATTCCCAGACCCCAGTCGATGTCCGAACCGGTCAGCAGACTGGAGTGGGGAATGGGCGCGGTGGCTGACATGGTCGACTGACCATGCCTGCGCGCGCCACAGCACGACCTGGCCCCCCATACACAAGCACCAGGATTTCACACAACGGGGGTTGAGCGGCTTGTCTCTCACTTGCGTGAGAGTGCCATACGTCACGTTTAGGAGTGTTCCAGCCTGACTCCCGACCCACCAGTCCACCACTCCACACAACACACACACACCACTGAACAGACTGCGTGGACTGAGTTGGGGTGTCAGTCCACAGCCTTCCAAGCTCTGGCACTTGCCGCGCCGGGATACTCTCAGGCTCGAGTCACACATGCAGCTGGAACCGCGTGGAGACGGAGTCAAGACACTCCCACTTGTGCAGGAGGTGGCCTTTGGGTGCTTATGGTGGACGGTGTTGATGTTGGTGTTTGTTGGCGTGTCAGGACTGTGTGTCATGTTGATGTGCGTGGCAGACTCCACAACGGCAGACCTTGAGGCAGTGAGGGAGGAGGAGGAGGAGGAGAATGGCAGTGGTTGTTCGGGATGGCGTTCAGAGTTAGTTGACGGCGTAGATTTCGAGGGAGAGGTGGACGGAGAGACAATGGAGCTGAAACTGAAGCTGGTCCGAAGGTGTCCAACAAGTCCCATTGGCGCCTGGAATGTCCGCTGACACCGTGGACACGTTGAGGGCGGTTACGCGTTGGCGTCGCGAGGTGGACAAAACTGAGATTTGCGTGCTTATTGTTTGACTTTCGTGGCGGCAATGCGGTTTGCCTCTTAGATCGTTCCGCCTGTCTTCACTGTTCTCCTTCAGGTCAGTCGGTCCTCGAGTGACGTCTTCCCAATCGGTCGGGTTAATCTGCCGACGTTTCAGGGAGGTCTTCAGGGTGTCCTTGTATCGACGCATTTGGCCTCCTTGGCGGCGGGAACTCGTGATTTAGGAGATGACCGTCCGTCCTGTAGGCGATGTGGATCACAGGACGTTCAACGCGGTAGACGTCCATCAGCATGGCAGAGAACATAAGACTGAAGAGGGTAGGCACCAGCACGCATCCATGCTTCACTCCTTTGGTCACTGCGAATGCCTCTGAGACAGCTCCGTTGACCGTGACTCGCGCCATCATACCGTCGTGCAGCTGACGCACCATCTGAGTGAATCGTTCCGGACAGCCGAATTTCTGTACGATCGTCCACAGTCCTTCACGAGTCACCGTGTCGAAGGCTTTCGTCAGGTCCACGAAAGTAGAGTATAAATGGGTCCGCATCTCCTGGCACTTCTCCTGAAGTTGACGGGCGGCGAAGATCATATCCGTGGTCCCACGATGACGACGGAAGCTGCATTGACTCTCCGAAATATTGGGGAACGCGTTGAAAAGCCCACCGTTGCTACTGCGGAAAAGAAAAAAAAAGATGTATTCATAAGATTGCCTTTTAGAGGAGACACAGAGAACGAACTAGTCCGACGGCGCTTAACTACAGCTATCACGAGGGCATTCCCTGCGGCGAATTTACGCGTATGCTTCAAAAACTCTCCCCTCCTACGTTTGGGACGTAAAGACAGACTACCGTTGGAGGCCATATCAATGTGCATTTATTAATTCACTTGCTCCTGTGGAGCAGGATACATCGGCCGCACAACGAGACGCCTGGTAAAGAGGGTGCGTGAACATATGCCCGCCTGGCTAGACAGAGGTGAGACCCGGTCGATTCCGAGTTCTATTCTAACGCATTTAATCGATACGAACCACCGAGTCGATGCCAAGAAAGCATGTCAGGTTGTCTACCGGACGCCAACATGCTTCTCTAAAGACCTACGTCAACGGATACTAGCAACGGCCGAGGCAGTAGCGATACAGTTAGTGAATCCGGTGTTATGCTGTCAGAAAACTCTGACACAAGCACTTTCGCTGCCGTGGCCGACGCCAACCCCAAGGGATGAAGCCATGCCGCCTCAAATCCCTAATCACGATTATGGGTACTCCGTGTACTCAACCCAAGAACATTACTCGAAGACTCTCTTACCCCCCTCCCCTAGCTCTGACGACTAACACCCGCCGACCTTCTCATGCGGGCGGCGTGGGGATGATGAGTGTTAGTGACTTAATAGCCCTTGAGGCATCTATAAACACTGTTGATTTTGTACATTTTCTTTCGTTCATGTAATTGTATTGGCCTGAGAAAGAATTACCGAAAACGTGCGTTCGCCAACTTGACTGTTCAATTGTAACATGGAAATATTCTTAAAAGATGTTTTCCCTGTAAAATCCGTCAGATGACCATTGCCAAACATTATTCTATTTACACTGTCATACATTTCCAGTTTTTGGCATGCACAGGCTTTCTGTACATCGGAAACTGAAGCATACACAATTCATTTCTGACATTCTCAGAATTTTCCGCTTTACTGAAAAAACCGGTATTTCTACACAACGTAATATTACCTTGAACATTTACTTTGCTTTTAGCTTCCTTAACGTTGATCTTTATTAACATAAATAGTGGGTCCATGCATTGGTGTCAGTCTGTGAGTGATTAGTAATCAATCGTAAATTTCGACACATTTCATCTGTTAGGTTACGTTGACAATCAGTTACCACATCAGTGCCGTTACTGTCTAACCGGTTATTTCAGCATTGCCGTGAGTATTAAGTACTGTGCCGCCAGTTACAGCAGGTGACCTAACTCATGAAACGTCAACCGAAATTCCGAAATGCGCTTTCGTTTCGAAAAGATTAATTAGGTAGATTTCAGAGGTGTTTTAGCAGATTTTAAATAATTCAACTTGGTCCAAATTTGAAAATCTGTGACAACCGTGAAATCTGCCAAAACACATCCGGAACACTTCTGAATCACGTGAGCCTAGTAATCATCTAGTGGATTCTAGATGTATTACTAAGGAAATCTTGCTTGAACAGTCAGTTTACTGTATCAGATTTGGTAGATTTCAGACGTTGCAGTAGATTGGGTGGGTAAACTTGACCCAAATGTGATTAAATTCGCGTCGTCAGGTGGGGTCTCGTAGCTCAGATGGTTAGAGTGTTGGCTGTATTCAATGCCTTCCCCTTGCTGTCGTGGGTTCGAATCCCACCGAGGCAGCGAGTTTTTCACAGTTGGGTCAAAGTGAATAAAGTAGGTTTGTAAAACTAATCATCTTACAGTATAATTCTATAATAATTCAGTTACCTCGGGATGCCGGCTTTCGAACGAACTTCCTTCTGGCTGCATGCAAAATCCACACTCCGTAAAAATGACTACACAAGTAGCATGAGTTTTTCTCATTGATTTTCGATGCCCTTACATATTCACCTATATGTCATAGAAAATATGCATAAAAATATTCATTCTTTTTGCTCATTTGGTAGAAAACTACGTCTTCTTTCTATTTTATACTCGAAGATAGGAGATAATTCGGTTTTCTAAAGGTTTCTATTTATGAGGTTTTTTTAATACCCCTAAATGCTCATTCATAAAACATCGTCTCTCTGCATTCGCTAATGTGGCTTGTTAAGTTTTCAAAATGGCTCAGATCTACTGCTAAATTTTATGAAACCCATATGATCTTCCCTCAATACCGCACAGAAATGTACGGTTTTCCGTACGCGGAAAATATAGAACTTGTAGTTTGGAGACCCTGAATGCAAGTACGACAGCAGGTCGGGTTTAAAATAATTCGGGAATTAGAAAAGTTTTTGAAAACCGAATTGTTCTATTCCTTCGAGTATAAAATTGGAATAAGAGGGCATTTTCTACCGAATGAGTAAAAGAGTGAATATGTTTATGCATGTTTTCCATGAAATATAATTAAATTTTTAGGGGCATCGAAAATCAGGGCGAAAAATGCATGCCACATAAATAGTCATTTTTTACAGAGTATGCATGCAGCCGAAAAGAAGTTCGTTCGAAATTCGGCATCCTGAGGTAGCTGAAGTATTATAAAATTATGCTGCGCGTTGATTAGTTTTGCATAAAAACCGCATTTACGAGACCGCATTTCGGAATTTCCGTTGACATTTTACGGAACGCGTACGCTCAGGCGTTTCTACACGCAGTCTGGAAAAAAACCTAGCAAGTCAAATGGACAAGACAAAGTAACCCGGAAATTACTGAGCTCTGACGCTCGCACACCAAATCAGTTGACTTAAAAAAGAGAGATAGCACGTCAAAACAGATTCATTATATATGGTCAGTCCACCACTGTCAAAGCACTAAATACACAAACTCGACCAGAAATTCAAATGACTCGTCTAGCTAGTCGACCTTGAGTCGATTGATCCTCTTCGTTCCCTCGGCATCTGATGGTTTTTTGGCGGATTAGACACCTGGATCGCTGTTGGGTCGGTTTTATTAAATTTATCGTTATCGCCTTGGCTTTGTCTTTGTGTTGGTAAGGCCATAGGGCTTTTTAAGACGTTGAAATGTCTGAATGCCTGTTGCCATCCTTGAGCTATCTCTGCTTTAGACTGTCGCACTTTGAAGGTCACAAGTATGACCCAGTCTATTCGAATGTGCGTTGCAGGCTGCTATTTTGAGTCGGCTGGTGTACAGCAATGCACCTTAGGTCTTTCGAGTAGAGCGTAGACGCAGTTAACTTTGTGAGACTAGGGTTGATTTCTGTCAGAGTGTAATGTTTGTCTTAGCGTTTCTGAATACTGAAGTTTCTGGTCTCGTGGTTGCCCACGGACTTGATGAAGAACTCACCTAGCGGGGAGTAAGGAAGCCACTAGACCTAAGCACGCACCCAGGGGCTCACCCACCAATCATCTAGGTGATGACTGATAAGGTAAGCAGTTGTCAAACCTGCCCAACATCCTTAAAAAGGCTGAGCCGGCGAGGGGGGAAAAAGTCGATCGGCTCAAGGTCGACAAACTCGTCAATTGGTTTAAATTTCTGTTTGTTTTTATTTCATGAAACGCTTTTGAAACAGTTCGCAAGGGTAAGACAAGAAATGAACGTCTTTGTTACTGGTAATTTTTTCCTTGTTTTGCGCATCTTGTTCGCACTCCAGCTGACCCTTTTCCGATTTTCGACCATATAGATGGATGGTGCTTGGGCGTCGAACGTGAGTCAGGACCTCTATTCGGTAGAGATAAACTATATGACTGGGGCAGGGTTAATATCGAGAGCTGCCTATTATATGGTGAGAGGTGATTATGTAGCCCCACCTGATGGACACAATATTGATGAGATGATACCAACAAAGACAAGGGAGACCGGAATGCCCATTTCTGGCTTACTAGCCGTCATCAGCCAGTCATACCCAACCCCAAGTGTGGATCACTTGAGATTCGAACCCGGGATCTTTGGTCATGGAGTTGAACGCTCTACCATTGAGCCACGGGCCCGCTGTCCTGTCGGTTGTGATCGGGAATATCAATTATGGCAGATGGGCGCTCACCGATCAGGTTACAGAACATGCTAATTGTTTAGGTATCTACTCACCAGCCAGTTCAAGTAGTCGAGTTGTATGTCTCTGTATGTAGTATTTGGCCTTGATGCTCGTAGTCCACTTATACAAATTGTTTATCGTTTTTTACTGAATGTCCAAAGCAATTATGAAGCGTAATTACTCCGGCTATCACTGAAGCGGAGACTTCTGGGACGCACAACTGAATGGCATAACATATGTTGAAGTCCATGTATATACTGGCACTGACATTTATTATGATTGTACATATTTTCCAATTCCTTTTTCGTTTATACAATAAATAAGTCATTCACATGAATTTGCGTCGCGTGTATTTGATATTGGCTGCCGATTAGTGGGCACGTGTACGGCAGGGTCAATTCGAGTACTATATAATACCGTAGTGAACTACGTACGCAGGGTGGGTTCCGACGTGTAACCTGTGGGAACAATGAGGCACTGCGCCTCAGGGGACTCGTTATACAGGACGATATTTTAAAGTGGTGCCAAAAGTGGGCGGGGATGTGGCGTCCTCTGCGCATTTCTTTTCGCTGGCGGGGCTATCGCGTTGCATGCCCCGCCACAGCCCCCTCCACAGCCCCGCCGAGCCCCCTCATGGCCCCCTCTAGCCCCGCCATTATTGAGGGGGCCAGGCGGGGCTAGCGCTGGCAGGGTAGTCTGCTAGAGGAATTAGAAGCGATTTCGATCCGACCCAATGTCATGATTATGGACGACTTTAACGGTCCGAATATCGACTGGAATCTGACTTCGGCCCCAGGCCCAGAATTTCACTTTGATCGCCGCCTCCTAAAATCTGTGCAAAGATCGCATCTAACACAACACGTCTTATCCCCAACCAGACTGCGTGAAGAACAACTAGCTAACTGCCTAGACCTTGTATTGACAAAGGCACCGGAAATCGTTGATGTTGTAAACTGTCTACCCCCTCTCGGAAAAAGCGACCATGTAGTCCTACAGTGGGAGTATTCTCTCTTCTCTGTACCCGATCAAAGTATCGTGATTAGACGCAACATATGGCGTGGTGACTTCAACCAAATGCGTCTCGACATGCGTCGTAGAGACTGGAAAGCAGCATTAACGGGGTGTGTCCTCAAGGACTGGTTATATCTTCAGGCCGTACTGAATGAACTTATCACCATATACTGTCCTATGTCGAAAAATAAAATCACCAACAGGCCCCGATGGCTAAAGGGTTCACCAAAAATTGAAGAAAACCGTAAGCAAAAGCTGTGGAAAGCATACCTTAGGGTCAAGACAACTGAATCAAGAAATAGGTACAAGGCTCAGCGGAATAGGGTAAAGTGCCTTGTTTAAAAAGCCCGCCAACACTTCGAGGGTAACCTTTTAAACTGTGCAGGAGAAAAATCAAAGCTTTTCTTCAACTACATAAGACAAAGTACCCGCAACAGAGATCCCATCCCTTTGCTAAAAACTGATGATGGCGTTGAACTTTACAAGGACGACGAAAAGGCTGAGCATCTGTCCAGGTTCTTTCAGTCGGTTTTTACGAAAGAAGTCGCTGTACCCACTGATCACTGAAATGTGGACAATGTCCCGAAAATTGACTCAGTGGTTCTCACAAAACCTATTGTTCAACAGGAATTACTGAAGCTAAAAGAAGGGACATCGCCCCGGTCCTGACGAAATACCGGCAAAGGTGTTGAAGAAACTAGCCACAGAATTGGCAGAACCTCTGAGCGTCCTCTTCCAAGCCTATCTTGATGCAGGCAGACTGCCTCCTGAGTGGAAGACTGCGTGGATTTCACCGATTCATAAAAATGGCAGTCGCGCTTCCGCAAACAACTACTGACCAGTAAGCCTCACCTCCATATGCTGCAAAGTTATGGAGCGAATTATCAAACGCGAACTGATGCGGTTTTCAGAGCAAAATCATCTTCTGTGCGATGCACAGCATGGTTTCCGCAGAGGGAGGTCCTGCTTGACCAATTTAATCTACTGTCTTGAACAGTGGACCCGAGCGATTGATGAAGGAAACGTTGTGCATGTGGTTTACATAGACTTCAATAAGACCTTTGACAGCGTGCCACACCAACGTCTCCTATACAAGCTCAGCCGCATAGGGGTAAGAGGCAGGCTTTTAAAGTGGATTGAAAACTTTTTGGTCGGTCGGTCCCAGACTGTTCGTCTTGGTGGCCAGCAATCGGCAGAGGTGACGGTTACGAGCGGAGTACCTCAGGGCTCCGTTCTTGGCCCTATCCTCTTCTTCATCTATATTGGTGACTGTATCCATGGATTGAACTGCAAGATTGCCATGTTTTCTGACAATATAAAGCTTTGGACCGTCATCCGCAACGAGGACGATGAAGCAAATTTACAGGCA